GTCTCAGAAAATATTAATAACATATTTTTGTTAATGTTTTTCAAAGGCAGATGAATTCGAGTGCAGTTAGTTACAGACACAGGATTCAGTCTAACTTAGTGATGGAAAACTGAGCACAAACTGGGCAGAAGTTCTCAGAAACCATGGAAAAGAGCTCAACATTCTCTCTGCCATAGACTGCATCTCCAAAAGTGAAGCAGAAACACATGCTCACACTTCTTGCTATTCAATCAGCTTTATTTGTTCCTTCTTGCTCTGTGAACCAGCAACTAAGGAAACTGTTGTCATAACTATCACAAAACTGGGAATCTAACTACGCTTATGAAAGCTCGTTTCTTGTTTTAAATTCCTTAATACATGGAAAGAAATCTAATCCCATCTTTTGCATAGTTTATTTCCCAATATTTTAATGAACCTTACTGACATGGGCATTCTTTGCTATTCCTGTAAAAGAGCAGGATTCCAACTTCAGCTGAAGTCTCCTCATCCTCCTGTATAATAAACCTCAAATTTGCCATTTCTAAAACTTTCAAACACAAAACTTAAGTAAACGTATCATCACAAGTTTGCCTCTGTGAAACAAAGTTTAAAGATGCAGTAGATTGCACACTGCAGAAGGGTACAACAGTTGAGGGCCAGGTAGTTCACATGCCAAAGTCAGTCCAAATCTGCTAAGAATATTAAAACAAATTAAAAAAAAAAATGTGTTTTTTTATTTTCCAGAGTTATTCCTATGCCTCTGGTACACTAGCTATTTGTATGTCTCTTCCCTGTACCTTCTCTAAGAAATATAATTTAAGGTCTAGAGAAATTCCAGCTCTTTGAAGGCAGCTATATTATGAAATTCACAGGAAAAGATGAAACAATCAATGGCTTAAGAAAGAGAAATTTTACATGTTTCTTTGATATTTGGCAAATTATTTTGAATCAAAACAGTAAGATATTGATTTCTGGTAATGTGCACACTTGTGTAAAATGGGCAGAAGATTAATATGAGAAATATTTAATAATTGACAAAGTGGTAGAGACTGAAGGACAACAAGAACAGTTATTTCTCTCTACCTAGCTAAACAGACTGAAAAAAATTACTATCTGGACAAAAGCAGTTCTGGAATAACAAAGAACATATCCCTTACTACTCAATTCCCAGTATGATCAGTGCTCAGGGGTGTGCAAGTCAAGGCGATAGAATCAACAGCCATTGGAGACAGAAGAGTGTAGAAGAGGGTGTCCTTAATTGCCCATGCTTCACAACCAGTTGCTTCAGTTTCCCTCACACCATATTAGTTTAATTTTCTGGTTTGGTCAAAATTCCACCCAGCAGTGATTATTAATAACAGAATCAATTTCTTCTGCTTCTCAACCATTAGCTTTCTATTCCGTATGTTGAGAGATCTAAAAGATTGTGGACGAACAGGAGAGAAGACAGATTCTAGCTCTGGCACTATTGTAAAGAACCAAGAAATGAACAGCATAAGGGAGAAAGATACATTTGCATTAGGGTAAAATAAAACCCATTCAAATTCCCAGGAAAATACATGTAAGACTTGCCCTTTCTCCAGCTGGGATTTAAAAGGTAACAGTATGGTACACGATTAGATTTCAAGAACTGAAAAACTTCAGATTGAAAGTATTTTTAAACTAAATACCAACAGCATAGCTTATGAGAAGTCAATCTATATATGCTTTTTAATATGGTGCTGAGGCTGTAGAAAATCAGTAGTCTTCAGGTATTTTTTCCACATTCAGCTTCATTTCCACCATGTCCAAGTTTTTTTCCACAGATAGCACACTCTGCTGGAAACTACAGCAATGTCTATCATTGCATTGATATCATGCATATCAGTGCATTGATACAGTAGAACATTCTGTTCATTGAATAGCTTAATTTGCTGCTACAAAGAAGTTTATCTTCCTTAACTTGTTTTTAGTGCAGTGGCAGAAAGTCAAATACCAAAACTAATTAAAAAACAGAAACAAGTGTTCATGATTTGATCAAATATTATGTTACATATAACACTAGTTTCTCAGGAATATACTCAACATGAGTTCTACACTCCAACCTGTAAAAATACAAAAAACAGAATATTTTAAATGAAGTTCTAAAATGACAAATATTTTGTTAAAGCTATAGAAAGATTAACATAATTCGAGTGACTACTAAATAATTCATGAATGGAATTAATTTAAAATATATCCAAGTTCCAGTTTACTTTTAAAGCATTCTCGGGGCAGGGTATTAAAAAAATCCAGCAACTCCGCACAGTTAAAAAGTTACTAGTTAAAAAAATAAAAGTATCAATCCACTAGGGAGACTACTGCAGATGATTCAACACAGTAATTCCTGGTTTATCATGTTGGAAAACTAATCATACACTGTATATGCAGTGACAGCAATTTGAACAAGCACTTCAGAATAACAAGGACTTACCAAGCTACACATGAAGATCAAAAGTCTATCCATTTGGACTTTTAACAAATAGGTAAAACTATACAGAATATTTGATATTCCCTCAAGCATGCAAACAACTTCCCATAACAAGACAGCAAAAGACAAAATTTGAACCTCAGAATTTTTTCTATGAGCCCACTTGAACATCCAAATCTAGATTCCTGGAAAAGCAAGCAGGTGCCTACTAAACATTTAGTTTCTAAAGAGTTCATCCACCCTACACATACTTCCAAGCTCCTTATAACAAACTTCGAATATTCAGAAAAAAAAAAAAAAATCAACAAATCAAAACCAATAAATACCATGTGCAACAGGGAGAGAGCTGGATAGGCAGATCTCACCCAAAGCCTTGAATATATAATATAATTATATATTACATATTATATATTTATTATATAGTATATGTTATATATTATATATTATATATCATATATCATATATTATATATTATCTATTATAGCAAGGAAATTATTAGCCAAAATCTCCAAATCACTAGATAGTTCCTGACAATCTGACAGGGACAGATTCCAGACAGCAAACCTAGTAAATTTTAAATTTTGACCAGTTATCAAGGTCATAAGCAGAAACTCCAGTAAACACCATTCTATACTTGCAGTACTGCAGAGGAAAGATAGCCTCTATATCCTCATATAAACTGAAGGAGGAACAATTTTTTTCCTGGTACCTGAGGGTAACCCAGTGGGAACTCTGAAAAATAAAACTAATTCAGTATAAATATAGGAGAAACACACAGTCTATAAGTAGCAATATGATCTCCTTTCAGCATTCCTTAGACTAATCAATAAATTGGATGCCCAAGGACTTGACTTGAAAGCTTACATTTTACCTACTTTTCAAGTTCTATTTAGTTCTATTTCTCTCACTGCTCTTAATTATTGTGCTAATTAGAAATCTTCTTCAAATTTCCACTGTAAATTTATTCATGTCCAATACATATTCAAACTAGGATTCAGAAATCTCAGTGATACCAGTACAACAGGTGACACAATCACGTAACAAAACAAATAATGAACAGCAAACCATCCATCCTTGAAACAGACTGTATATACTGTATTAATAGCTGATCTAAATCCAGAGACTTGTCTGTTAGTTTATAGAACTTCTCCCACAATCCTCCCTCATCACAAACTCAGTATCATTAATTCCTTATGTGACTCCTTTCAGGATCCATTGACTTTCAGACTTCACTAATGGGTGGCATAATTTTTTAATTTAAAAATTCTGCCTGTGAAAACATTCAGGATCCACACCTTCACAAGGAAACTTTATTGAAATGTATCATTGTATCTTGCAAATTTTCCAATTTCCAACCTTCAGATGGGCCCCAGATACCACTGAACCCTCAATACATATTCTAGGTTAGAGAAGACAAAAAAAAAAACAGAACAAAACAAAATAAACCTAATAAGCCATAAGCTAAATAAAAAAGAATTTGCCCATAGCAAAGACAATATTTTGACAACATTCTGTAGATATAAATACCTGTTCTTAATCTCTAGCATTCATATGCTCAGTGATATACAGGAATCAGTAATAGTTTTCTATGCTCTTGTACTACTTCTATTCATGCTTTAATCTGTCAGGCAAATTGGTGTTTTTACTAGACTGGAAGTTCAATCAGACTACACTGTTGCCAAATTTCTAAGGAAAAAGACCTGTTTATCCTGATTTCCCTTACTGTGGGTAGCTTGTATGCAATCTCCCTGCATTTTTCACCCTTCTTAGCAGGAAGCAACAGGGTCTTTCTGAGGAAGACTCACACTGTCTTGTTTGCCTGATGCTAGTCACATGATAACACTGACGGGCTGCTGGAACGCATAGGAGTAGATGGGCTTGACACCAGGCCAGATTCTCTTTCACTTGTACTAATTCAGTCATCCCAAATCCAGTCCCAAAAATGCCTTCACAAGTGATGTGGGCAGCTGGTGCGGGTGGGCTTAGGATCAAATTAAAGATCTCTCAAAGTACAGTGCAGCCATCACCCCAGTGTTTTAACATAGTAACACAATGTGGTACATTTACCTAAGAACTTGGGGTACCACACATGAAAATATATTAGAAATGCACATAGGCAGAAGCCTTTGTTTATGTGGAAGGCAAAACATTTTAAAACACTCATTTTAAACACAAGGGGTATCAAATCAGACACAAAAGTAACATGCACTCATGACTATTTAGTTTATAGGAGCAGAAGGCATTACTTCCCTCTTCAGTAGTTCCATTCCTCATTTGCCAAACACTGATTTGTCAAAATACAGAGAATAAAGAAACTACACAAAGCAACAATGTCAGAAATTATAAGGCCCCCAATACAATTACTTTTCTGCCATAACTTATACTTACTTTCAAATGTCATATAGTCCTGTTGTGTACTTATTACAGATTGTAAATCAAATGCATGTCATCTTTTTTTATGAAAAAATTAGAGCAGAAAAAGAAAACATTTAGATAATCTAAAACACATTTCCAAAACTGTAGCAAGTACTTTGACAATATCTTTCAAACAAATAAATGAGTTTTTCATTACCTCTCTAAGATGCATGTTCTCCTTCTCCTTCTGATCTAAAATCACTTCTAAATGATTAACCTGAGATTCAGCCTCTGCCATCCTTCGAGTTCTCTCATTGTCATCTTCCATTCCTTTAGTTGGCAAACCTTTACTTTGCAACATTTCCAGAAGCTTTTTTATTGATTCATCTCTGGCATTTAGTGTTTGCTTTTGTGTTTCAATCCTAAGTTCCATTTCTTCTAGCGTTTTTCTCAATAGAAAGAGCTCTTTAGCCTGTCTATCATGTTCTGCTTGAAGTCTTCGAAAATTCTCCTCCGTGAGCTCAATGGTAAAATGCTCAGCCCCTCGGTTTCCACTTTCTTGCTGAAGAAGATGATTAAGGTCTCTCTGGGTTCTAAGCTCATCTTGAAGTGCCTGGATTGTCATTTGCAGATGCTGCAATAAAAAAAAAGGACGGAAAAATAAAGATCAATTTAGGATCTGAATGTAGGATTAGTATTGGATTCAACTTTCGTTGCACTCAGTTACAAAAATTCATTAGAATAAATGTTGAAAGTATATCAAATGACCTTATAAAATAGCAAATGCATGTGACAATGTTTGTAATGATATCTTTCAAGTGCTTCTAGAAAAAAAAGAGAAGACAACAAACACACACACAAAATAGTGCCAGCTACAGATAAATAGCAAAGAAAGGTAAACCAACAAACCCAAACGCTAGGCAGTGGCACATCCATTAATACAGTCAATATGCACCTACAAAGCTGAAAGACTAAGTATTCCATGTTTTCTAATTTACTTCATAGACTAAAGATAATTCTGCCCTTCATGGCGCTTGACAGTACTGTTGTTTTTAAAGTCAACCAAAGCGCTCACTATAATTGAAGAGGCCTTTGGGGACTGGCTGAGTTGGGGCTGGTTGGTTTCGTTTTTTTCTTTTGGCAACTAATGCTATGAACATTTTAGTAAACAGGATTACTGTATCTCTAACAAGCAAACAAAAGTAACACAATAAGCAATACTGAATTTTGAAAAATAAATTGACTGCAAATAGTAGACAAACCTTTGTTCTCCTGGCATCCAAAAACTGAACAGCATGGTAAATGAAAAAATGAAGCAAAATCAACATAAATAAAGGTCAGATGCAAGCAAAGGAGATTCAACAGAAAGAACTAAATTCAAAAAAAAGTACCTTCAACAGAAAAAACAAACAAACAAACAAACATTTTTATTGACTTATACAGAAAGGCACCAACAACTTCACAATACTCAAATATATAAATCTAAACTATAGACAGACTTTACTCAACAGATGTGACCAAACCATATTAGAAATAATCAATTCCACAGCAAATAATAACCTTCCTATTTTATCTTACTCTTCGTTTACATTTTAAGGTTTTAAAAAACACAGTAACTTCTAAAATATTTGTACTACATCTGACTACAGGAGTCTCTTTGTTCAAGAGGTAAATATTACACTCCTTATTCAACACAAACCAAAATCAAAAAGAATTATATTTTTATCTGATGATTTTTCTTCTTATTTTTCCCTTCTATTCACTGCCTACACAGCATACTGAATTTATAGAAAAAATAGTTATTCCTGAATAGTCACATGATCTGTACTGAAAGAAATTTAATTGCAGGAACTATGGGACTTAAACGCATGGCACCACACTTTTTTGCATTAATGGATATTCTGCAACTCCACATTCTAAAAACAAAACAAAACAAACAAACAGAAAATCATTTCATTTGATACTACCTTCATGTTTACCACAATTATATCTAAAACTTCTGTCTGTAACAATAATTTAAACTGAATGAAAAAACACAAAAACCTTAAGCAAACAACTTTTTTAAATCATGTCTTTTATCAGATATTTCAAATGGAAAAAATAAGTATTGCCAGTGGTAGAATTCTGTACAGTTTGACACTTTAAATCTGTTTTATCATTGAATACCACTGTCTTTATAATTGTCCAGATCTTAATCCTCTTAATATTTGCATCTTATTAGGTACATACTCATTTAAGAGCATATAAATGTAAGGTTATCATTCACAGCCCTGATTTTATTTAATAGTAATTCTTATCCTTTTCTTAATCTCATCATCTTTTTTTTAAATAATCTTAAGAGCTCACAATAAACTAAAACTACCTCTAGATGTAGCAGTTTTCCCAATTCAAATCTATTATACTGTGTATGACTAAGACTGACAGTTTTAACACAGAAATTCAAATACAAATGCTTAAATCCAAATCAAATTTTGAAATAGTATAGAAATTATATTCAATGATTATCATGAAAGATTAAATTAACAAGGACGTGGAAAGCTAATGACAAGGATAGAGAGATGCTGCAAAGTAAACAGAATCAAAACATTTATTTTTAAGTGTTTTTTCACTATGTTAAGACATAGGGACCTAATTTTTTTAGATTACCTTACCCAGCCAATACGGTAATTTTGCAATGGCTCCAAACTAAATGATATCTTTCATTACTGTATTCTCTAATCCTTTACAGCTTTGTAACATTGAAAGCTGGAGGTGAATACATGCTTAAAATTACTGAATTAAAAATAATTCAGTTTTTCCTAAATAGATTGCAAGTTTCCTTTATACAATAAAGTATTGTTTTCCTTCTTTCTTAGAGCAGAAATATGGATGAAATCCGGGTTTAAGGATATTAAAAAGAGAAGGAAAACGAAAACCAGAAATTACCTGCACATTATATTACATTCTTCAATATATGACTATTGAGATGGAAGAGGCAAAGGAGCAGGTAAAAGTAACATTTGACATTTTTAAAAAGTAAATTCTCAAAAAAAAAAAATGACAGACACGTCAAAGAACACATTCGAATATCTCCATTCTCATCTTTGAGAACATTTTAGCTTAGGTGATGATGTTGCAAGCTACTTTAAAATTACACTCAGTAGTTTGTTTCAGTGGAATGATTGGTAAGTGATTTTTTTAAAAACTATTTAAAAAATTATAATGCAGGTTGCTATCTTGAAGCTCAAGGAACAGGGTTTTTTCTGTTCAAGTTTAGTTATTACTGGCTGGGAGCAGGGGGCGGGAGAGGGTTGAACATAAATCCTAGCTTCCAACAGGAAGCAATTATGCATGAGACTCACAGCTTCCATTTACAAAAATACATTTTTATTCAAAGGCTTCGAAGGAAACCATTAGGGTGCTGCAAATGCAACAAAAATTAAAAAGACCACAATCAAAATTTAAATACATTTTTTCATTCAATCTTACAAATTTAGGGAAACAGCTTCATTTTTTGATGACTTAGGACTTGGAATCATACAACTGACCTATCTGATGCACCTTTACTTGTTTTTCTGGTGGATGAAAAGCTGGACATGAGCCGACAACATGCACTTGCTGCCCTGAAGGCCAACCGTGTCCTGGGCTGCATTAAGAGAATTGTGACCAGCAGGTCGAGGGAGGGGATTCTCCCCCCTCTACTCCACTCTCATGAGACCCCCCTGCAGTGCTGTGTCCAGCTCCCAGCCCCCCAACATCAGGACATGGACCAGCTTGAGCGGGTCTGAGGAGGCCACAAAGATGATCAGGGCACTGAAGCACCTCCCCTGTGAGGCCAGACTGAGAGAGTTGGGGGTGTTCAGCCTGGAGAAGAGAAGGCTCCGGGGAGAGCTTATAGAGGCCTTCCAGTACTTAAAGGGGGCTGCAGGGAAGATGGGGAACAACACTTGATCAGGAGGTGCTGGGGTAGGACGAGGGGTAACAGTTTTAAACTGAGAGGGCAGATTTAGATTAGATAGAAGGAATAAATTCTTTCTTGTGAGGGTGGTGAGACACTGGCACAGGTTGTCCAGAGAAGCTGTGGATGCTCCATCCCTGGAAGGGTTCAAAACCAGGTTGGACGGGGCTGGGAGCAACCTGGTCTAGTGGAAGATGGCCCTGCCTACTGCAGGAGGGTTGGACTGCATGACATTTAAATGTCCTTTCTAACACAAACTATTCTATGATTCCTGCCATGAAGGAAGCCTTGGTTAGAGCTTACTGAAAATTTTCATATAAGTAATTATGAAAAAATATGTGTGTATCCATTTAACCTATTCATATATTTGCATCCAGCTTGGCAAACACCACCTCTCAAAGGCTCAAAAGAATTGAATAAATATTTGTTTTTCAAATTAGAAGTTTAGTCTTTAAAACTTTTTCATGCTATTCTCAGTTTTAAATTGTCCTTTTTTTAAACAGGTAGAATTTTTCTAAGTGAAATGTTTGCTTTTGATCAAACAAAATTTCATTCAACATTATACCAAAAACATTTCCATTTTAATTAATTAATTTTCAAGTTGATGTCCACATTAGCTATCAGCCAGAGCTTCATTCCCAGGGCATTTATTTAAAACATGAATCTCATACCTATACATTCTTCATAAGAATGGCTGAAATAATACATATAAACTTTGAATTTGCATAAACACAGTAGACTAAATCCTCTACATTCCAAAATTATTGCACTAGGAAGCAATAGCAATATTCAGCAACTACTAGTAGTATAAAAATAATCAAAATATTTGTTTTCTCCAATCTGAAAAATTATTTAAGGTATGTCCTCCTAATTTTAAATTGGACAATATATATTGCTAGAGGCTAAAAATTATTTACAAATAAATGTTTTCCCAAAGTCAAGCAGTCTCTGTACACTAAATGTGTATGTGCCTATAAGACTTTAGCTAAGCAAAGGGAAACTAATTTCTAAAATATTTAATACAAAATAAAAGCAAACTTAACATACATGTTGCTAACTTACAACCCTTCTGAATGCAAGCTGTAAAAGTCAAAACTGTTGGATCAACACAAATAATTAGAAATCAGAACTCAAACAACAATTTTGGTTAAGACAAACCAGACAACTTCCTTTTCTGTCCCACAGCAAGCTACATCTTTAGGTTCTACCCAAAACCATGTTTGTCACTAAACACAACAGTAGTTGTGGCTGCTTCTCAGTGATTATGTTAAAACAGCCTCAACTGTGGCAGACTACTGCTACTCTGACAGAAGAGAATCCATTTTTGGACACTTTCAAGACTTAGAACTCTCTTTGAACATGATGGACTAGATTTAGACTGGTGCTGGCACAGATTTTTGTATTTGCAGCTACCTAAGAAAAGGAAAGAACAAATGTTGTGAGGGTGGAAAGACACTGTATAATTAATTGCAGTGGGGGAGGAATGTAGGAGTGCTATGAATATCTGTCACACTGCTGTCATTACACAGACATAGAACTTTAAGGGGATTTAAAAAAAAAAATGCATGATATATAATATTTTTCATAATTTCTATTAAAAACAGACCAGTTGACCAGAAATATTTCCATGCCAATTTCTTGGTAATAGATAAATAGTTCTCTCAGAACTTTTTCACTCCTTCTCTACAGCCCGAGTCCAAGACGCAACCCATGGAACTGCACAGGAGGTTCCATTAATCTTTCTCTGAATTAAACACAGTTCAGGTTTTCAAAATTTGCCCCAATAAATTGAAACAAAACCATGAAAGGAAGATGAATTAATGGCCCTTTCCGGATTCCAATTCACATTCTACACAGGGAGATTCCTCTAATCTGTGCCAACTGGCTATTCCCAAAGGAATTGCCTACAGAGAAATGTCCTGCCATGGTATGCCTTGGGCAAGAGCACAAAAGCACTTTCAGGGCATGCCAAAGCCTTAGCTATATGGTGAACAGAGGAGGAAAAGGAAATCACAATGAGAATCCCTGAATTAAAACTCTTAGTCCACCTACAGAAGTACACAGCTTCTCATACTTTGCACCACCACCCTGGCACCAAAAGCAAAGAACCTTGAAGAATCCAGTCTACTGTCATGTTAAAAATTGCCTGCTACTAACATGGAAGGAAGTGACAAACCTTGTGTAAGGTTAGGAAGGAGGGAAGTTATAGCTGGGGCTGTCTTGACTGGGAAAGCCAACATGAAGGACTTGGTGGCAGAAAGTGGTCTTATGCTCTCAAGTGATGGATTTTGAAATATGCATCCACCCATATATAATTTGCTAGTAGTTTTCTGTAATGTAGTGATAATT